TGGAATTCTGGGATTTGCAATTTTGTGAGATATTTAGCCTTTTCTGTCTGGTACTCCAAAGCAAACTGCAGATCCTAGGAGTCCATAGGATGGAGCCATGGCTGTTAAAGTGGTGTCAAACTGCATTATTTCTGCAGTGCAGATTCAGGCTGCATTCCTTCTGTAGAACTGGCTTCCTTCTCTTTCTCCCCTTGTCCTCCTCCTCCTCCTCTCTCCTGCCTTCCTTCTCTTACTCCCCTCATCCTTATTTTCCTCTTTCTCTTTCCTGGCTTCCTTTTCTTTCTCCCCTCATTCTCATCATCCTCCTTATCTCTCCTGACTCCCTTCTCTTTCTCTTTCTCTTTCTCTTTCTCTTTCTCTTTCTCTTTCTCTTTCTCTTTCTCTTTCTCTCCTCCTCCTCCTCTCTCCTGGCTTCCTTCTCTTCATCCCCTCATCCTCATCATCCTCCTTCTCTTTCTTGGCTTCCTTCTCTTTCTCCCTTCGTCCTCCTCCTCCTCCTCTACCCAGCATATAAGATGACCTCTGACTGTTGAGACTCTTTTCCAGGGATAAAAAGTCATCTTATATGCTGGAAAATATGGTACATAAACAATGTTTATTGCCTAATAATTATGACCATCCAGCAACATTCAAAGTACATCTTTACTTAGATCAGATGCATATGTCATTGCTAACTGATCAGTGGTAGGATCAGGGCTGGAAATTAAAATAAAAAACACCCCAAAAAACCACAAACCAAAACAGATTTTTTTTTTTTTTTACTTTAAATCATTTTTAAACCATGGTGGATTTTTTTCTTTTTGTTTTTGTTTTGTTTTTTGCATTAATGTTTTAAGGGGAAAAAAGGAATCCTGAACATTATATTAATACTGGGAAACATTATTTTATATATTAGAAGGCTTGATTAATCAACCCAAAGTTATTAGATTTTTATATGATTTACACATTTCAATAAAATTTTGGGAATTAAAAAAAAACTTAAAACTCACTATTTTTGGTAGAGTTTCCCAGAAATTCTGCTATGACAGCCAGTAGACTGACTA